TAGCCGGTCGACCACCGCGACTGCAGCTGCGCGATGCCACCCGTTGACCCCTTCCTTTCTCCTCCCTTTGTGCCGCGTCGATCGAGATCAGGGCTGCTCCGTCCTCTCGTCGTCGCCCAACCTCCAGCTATCAGGGGGTGAAGGATTATTGGTTTGTTACCTTTCCAGCCGGCTACCTTGAAACCAACGCGATTTGAATTATACGTATGCGATCGTGCGCGCCGATACTTCGGTTAGTCCGCTGCCGTCCGGCTACCTAGTTCTCAGCATTGTGCTTCGTATTGGTTTTGGAGGGTGGTCGCTCTTTGCAGGTCAGGATCTGAAAGAATGTCGATCTCGATTCCTCGATTATGCACAGTGTGTATGTACATTTCGCGATCGTTTTCGTTCGACGATGTTTTCCACGTTGACGTTGACGGTATATCTACATGATCATATGGAAGGCGTAATGGAGGATCGTGGATCGTATTGGGAATCATTTGGCTTCCGACGTCGCTGTAGGATATTGGTATGGTTAATCGAGTACAGCTTTCTTCTTTTCTTTTGTAGAACGTTTTCGTATATTTAATACAAAAGGTAGCGTTTCAAGTATTAATACTATCGTCATAGGTGTTCCGTTTTTCACGCGATGATATCGTACACGTATCCTGAAGATTGTATATCGCCTGTATATCTTCTTATCCTCCGAGAACTTACTAGGAGAAAATTCTCGTTCAAATACCGATTCGTACTTTCTTTGTTCGTTCTAATTTATCCCAGTGTCGTTCACGATTGCATCGTGACTTTCATCTTCCGAAATGAGACATTCGTTTGCTTCGTGTGTGATAGTTTCTTGATACAAATCATTTTGCACGATGGCTGAAGAAAACAGAAACAAAAAGATTAAACAAAAAAATCACGTTGCTTATCGCGTTATTATTTTATTATTAATTCTTATCGTAATACCTGCGCGCGTCTTCATTTTCCGTTGTCTACGAATGAAGAAATACGCTGCCGTTGTTGCGGTCGCTATTATTACGATCGTAATTGCTGTTAATGTTCCAACCATCCTGGACACTGTGTTAGTGCTGCTGTGATACATAGATAGGTAGCACGGCGATTCTTGAAATAGAACATACAACTATGCAATAGAGAATTTTCGATATAAAATTAGAGTTTCCTACGAAAGTATTTGAATCTCTATAGAAACTTCGTATGAATTACGTGTATCATATAAGTTTGTATATTTGTTTCTGTATTTCACGTTATATAATTTGTATAGTCTTTGTGTTATATAAAATATTTCCAAGTACGATCAGTATTGCTATAAGACGCAATTATCGTGATTATATTAGCAAAATATGAAACAAATCTCGAATTAGATTATTCGGCGCAAGTTACAGCGTGTGACAGTGGATTCACGTAATTGTGAAAGATATAAAGCTTTTCTACTATAGGGGAACAGTCATATTTTGGCAATAGCGAATATATTAAGAAAATACCTCTTTCGACAAAGCAACCAATGGTCGATGGACCATGGTCGGAGGTTATAGTAAAGCAGAAACTTTTGTTGCCCTCTGTGTCGTTGCATTGGTAGCAATACGGTGCGTAATGTCTGGCATCCATTTGCGTGCTATTCGTCTCATTGTGGACCGTGAGTCTATTAACATTTTTCTTTTAAAAGTTCATTAAATCTGTACTTCAATGCAAAACAAATTCGTATTACCATTATACTCACCGATTGACGGTCTTATCGTCGAAATCCATTACTAAAATGCACACAGTGGGTTGGTCACAATCCCACCCTGTCCATCCGTAAGAACATTCACACGGTTCCTCGTCCTTCACGCATACTCCATGACCTTTGCAAACGCGTGTACACGGCTTAACGCAGGTACCATTCGCACTCATTTCAAAGCCAACATCGCATCGGCACTCGTTTGGCGCCACGCATTTTCCGTTCTCGCAGTTATTTTCGCAAAATGCTACGCACGAGCCTTCGGATTCCTTGACGAAACCTTCTAAACACTGGCATACATGTGGCGCAACGCAGATACCGTTTTCACAGGAGGAACAGATTGGCATGCACCGATTATCTGACGATCGTGTGTAGTTGTCATTGCAAGTGCAGAAATTCGGCGCCGTGCATTTACCATGTTTGCAACTTGGTTCGCAGATAGGTTCACAGGCTGATATGTAACCATCTGTGATTTTGTCTACCTACATATATATAGAAAGGATATGACAAAACAGTGAAAAACTTTTATGCGCACAAATGTCGGATAAGTCTTATTTTCCAAGCTAGGAACAATTTAATTTCGCACTAGAGATGCCTGTACGCACGCAACCCACTGTACATCGGCGTATGCATTTGGGCAACCGGCAGGGACCAAAATCTGGATTCTAAAGCTCCTAGTTAAAAAGACACGAATCGAAAGATTACAGTTGTACTCACTTCGTTTTCCTTCACGTTCGTATCGATCGTCCGATATCCATCGAAGCAACTGCAAGTGTCCGGTGCCACGCATGTTCCGCCAGGTTCACAAGGAATCTTGCAAAACGGTACGCACGTTCGTTCCTCTTCCTCGAACCAGTAACCCTCCGTGCAGTTGCAAACTCCTGGCGCGGTGCACGTTCCGTTTCCGCAAGATTTCTCGCAAATTGGCTCGCACACGTGCTTCATCGTGTCATCTCCGCTAACTCGATAGCCGTCGTGGCAAGAACAGATGTCAGGTGCTGTGCAGGTTCCATTTACGCAAGCCTTTTCGCACATGGGCTCGCAAACATACTTGGAATCGTTCAATAATCCGTAACCTGGGTCGCAGCTGCAGACTTCCGGGGCGATACAAGTTCCATTCACGCAGGATTCGCTACAGATCGGATCACAGTCCTTGGCCTCGTTCTGTTGGTATCCTGGGTTGCATGTACAATTGTTTGGTGCCGTGCAATTGCCGTATTTACAAGGTTGCTCGCACTTGGGCGTGCAGGTGAACATATCCATAAGTTCGTAACCATCGTTGCAAGTGCAAACGTCCGGCGCTGTGCACTTGCCATTTTCACATGGCATTTTACAAATCGGCTTGCACAGTAAATCGGATAGCTCGTAGCCTGGATTGCAGACGCAATGGTTCGGCCCCACGCAATGAGCATTTAGCTGTTCGCAATTTTGCTGGCAAATTGGTTGACAGTGCAACTTGTCAGCGGACAATTCGTAGCCAGTGTTGCACATGCATTTATTAGGAGATTGGCAAACGCCGTTCTTGCAGTTCCCCTCGCATACTGGCTCGCACGCGAACGATACATACTGCTGTCTAAATCCTTGTTCGCATTCGCACGTATTTGGTTTTACGCATCTTGCGTTGATGCAAGGAACCGAGCATACTGGCACGCAGACGTTGTCGTTTTTCACGTAGCCGTTGCAGCACGTTTTCTCAGTCACCCAAGTGGTTCTGTACTGAAAACCAGAAGAGATTGATGCTAAGCTGTAATAGCGATTCTCATCGATAGACTGTGCATATTTATGCATTTGTGACATGTAGATAATATCTTTATTGCTTCGCTTACGGATTACAAGGCATTGTGCGTCTTTGGTTTGTTTCGGTCTCAATTACTATCTAATACTTGGTTATTACTATATTACATATCGCACATCCGCTTCCTATTAGCGATTTAATAGGAAACAGCCATCTTCTATTATCCACATTACAACACATCCTTAATAGGCATTAATTAATGTGCACAAATGCAGAAATATATATATATATATATATATATATATATCAAAAGTAAAGTGCATATTATTATATTTGAAGACTACAGGAAAACAACATGATCGTAGCTTCTACTTTTTACAAGCAGTTTTGAGATTCATCGTGCTATCGATCAATCATGTATTACCAAAATTTTTCGTACAATTGGTTTTAGAGCTAAGCATATTTTCCCCTTATTAGGCGTAATTGTTTCATCCCCTCAAAATTTTGATTGACTTGCAAATTAGGAATTAAAAGAATTAAAGATACAGAGTGTATCACAGGTAAGGAAATAGTCACTGGACGTTAGTGACTTTGAACCTTCCCTGTTCCATACCTCGCTCCTGTAGTTTGTTCGAGTCTTAATCACATAAAAAAGTCCCCATTTCCGAGCCTTGTACGTTTCCGTATACGGCACGAATCGTTCTTCCCTCCGACTGAAACAAAAAAGTTCCTTTGCCATTCGTTTGCAATCTTGTACGATCTTCTTGTACGCCAGATCTCCATTCATCTGAATTTCATTTATTGGAATGAAATCTTGGTTAATGCCCGATCAATTGAACTTTTGCCATTTAAAATCAATCATTTCTATCGTGTGAACGAAAAATGATAGATAGGTTATATGAATTGCAATTATACAAACTGTTTGTCCAATAAGTTTCAATAAACGTAGTTCAACCGTACACCGAAGAATATGGTAGTTTCTATGTTACCTGAATCTCACGATGCACTCATGGTCCGAATCATCCAACTCGTTTTTAGGTTGCCTGGTCGACCACGACGACATCATTACACCTGTTATAAGGATAGAGTTTATAAAGATTATACCACCAATGTATCCCATATTTCTCGTCCTTTCGTTCATACGAGCAATTTGCTACTGAAACTGATGCTAACTGCTGCAATTGATGGGCTCGACTTCTTTTATCTGTTTCGCGTTATCGACAGGATGCTCGATATCGCGGAGGTTCAGACAATTTTGTCGTCAGAGTTGATCGAGTTACACAGAGGATCCTTCGTCACAAATGTTAACCAACCGTGGGCAACCTGGCTCGTTTATGTCCGAAGTGAAATTTCATTTTTGAATATCTTGGAAAAAGGGGGAGGGTGGGAAGGAGATCCAGGTTCCATTGCCTAAAGAAGTAGGCACTAATTCTTCGAATCAACGAGAATTTGGTTCAAGTAAGTTTGTTCTAGAACAGCAAGCAATAAAAATTTCTCTTGTGCTGTAAACAACTTAGGTTGCCTACGAAAGGTGCAAAAGATGTGCTTTTCCACGGAAGGTTAATAGGATTTTTGCTTTATCTCTTCGTTGATATGTATAAACATGGGGGAAAGTAATAATACATATATATATCTTATAGATTTGCGGAATTACCACTTCTTAGCTGATTATATCTTTGTATAAAAATAATAAGCATATATATTTCTGCTCGTTTACTTTATCGGCAGTTACAACGATAATATCAGGTCGTTAAACGAAAAATAAATTTAGTATATAAAGGCGATTAAACGCATTCTGCATTCCGTTTAACACTAGAACTACCACACTAGCCAAATTGACTTGTTTTACAATTTTATTTTAAAATTCCTACTTCGTGTTATATTTTTTTCCGCAATGATGTAATGACTTTCGCAACGATAACTAAAAGAATAATAGAATGAATTTTATTTTGCTTTTATGTATTAAAATTGAAAATAATTTTGTACCAAGGCTATTTATACCAAAACCAGTCAAAATGACTGGTACGTGTCGAAGTGTAAAAGGGTCCTGCAATCTGTTTATCGAACCCCAATTAACCAGTTTCCTCGTCTCGTACAATTTCCTACACGTTTTTAAAATTTTTACTGCGTATCATTCAATATGACGACATCAGTTATCAGGAAAATTCCGGATCGATCGCTAGATCGCTAGATGCTAACACTAGAAATACCACACCAGTCAAAACGACTGGTTCTACAATTTTATAAATATGTCAACTCTCGTTTAGGGATCATGGTCTCAGCTGGATTAATAATACCAAAAATATACTACATAACATGGAATTCCTTCTGTAAGAACGTAATAAATCGAAAAATATAAAAATATTCTATTATTATGTATTTTTTAAAGACGCGTCATTTTGACTGGTTGTGATAGAAATAGCCTCGTGTTAACTATCGGTAGTTCTAGTGTTAGAAAACTTTTTAATGCACGAATTTTCTCAAAAGAGGTTACGAATGAAGTTTCTCAATTCTAGATCTGGTAGCCTTTATAAATTTTAAGCAACGAAACAAATTATTATTTCGAAAAGTGAGAGGGGTTGAGTTAGATTGAAACTTAGCCTGATGGAATATGTGACAAACTTTTTATTTATAAAATATATTTCAGATGCATCGATGTAGTAGCTTAACAAAGAGGTGAAACGATGAATACAGTTCGTCTTCCAGTTACAGGCTGTTATTCTCTTCAGGAATTAAAGATGTTTGTCCCCGGGACGACGTTGCTGGCGTATTATCTGCGTTTGCAAACGACAATTCAAAAGTTGCGTTTTTAGAGACTCTTATTTGGAAACTTTGATGGCGTAGCGATACATTAATTACCAGAAGAAATTTTCTTTTTCAAGCTCGTTCGTATCAACGCGTAGATTATAGCGGCGCTACCAGTAATCACCGTAGCACCCACGATTCCAGATATCGATGCGTAACTTAGGCCTTTTGTGCGTGTTGCGTACACTCGATAACAGTTGGAATCTACAATGTAGTGTCCCAATTAAAAAAATGTAAGAGATAGAATTCGCACGAAAGATTCGTATAAAGCGATAACGAATCGATAAAGAAGATTATTTAATTGATTAATTCGTAACAAAGTTAATTATCATTACTGATATTCGTAACGAAATTTGTAATCTCTGAAAAGTAATTAGAAGCTTGTAATTAGAAGCTTGTGTGTAGAAGAAAGTTGTTCATTTATAGTTGTACCGATCAGACAGGAGATCGTATCATCCTCTGTGTTGTTCTCGTACTTTCCAAAGCACAAAGTCTCGTTATTGATTTTGTCTAAACAATCGTGGTGACACATTGGACTATTTTCAACTACGTAAGCGATCGTGTTGTTTACATCGTACTCGACGTTCGATCTGCAATGAAAAGAGCATAAAAATATACAAAATGCACATAATGTACAAAAATATTATGTAAAAGTTTTCAATATTTACGCGTTTAAGCGTTCGCTTGTGTTCATCGTCGCGATACAAAATCGTGTTTCCCCACAGTCCATCCCATCCCATCCGTAATAACAGTGGCAGTTTCTGTTATTGACATCGCAAACTCCATGGTCGTTGCAATTATTCTTACACGCGCTGACACAGTCGTTACCATCGTTTGAATTATCAGTATCTGTTTTCACAAAACCAGCGTTGCATCGACAATCACCGGGTGCTACGCATACTCCATTGAAGCAACTTTTGCAGTACGGTTCGCAGACGCTCTGATTTTCTCTTTCCATTAGAACGAAACCTTCGTCACATTCGCAGACTTCAGGCTGCACGCAGGTTCCATTGTTGCAAAATTCGCAGAATGGCTGACAGTGACCTTCTGCGTCTGCCGCGTAACCCGCGTAGCAAGTGCACTCGTTCGGAGCTGCGCAGGTACCGTTCCCGCAGTCAAAGTCGCAAACAGGTTCACAGGTAAACGCAGTCTCGTTACCCATCGATTCATAACCCTCTTTGCATTTGCAGCTATCTGGTGCAACGCAGATCCCATTAACACCGCACGATACCGTGCATACAGGTTCGCAAACGTTCGGAACGTCCCACGATAGACTGTAACCTTCTTTGCAATTGCATTTCTCTGGTGCGCTGCAGAATCCATTCTCACAAGGTTGTGTACAAACAGGTTCGCAAACATTTGAATTATTCTTCGAGGATCGATAGCCTGGTTCGCACGTGCACTCGTTTGGACGAGTGCAATATCCGTTGACACAGTCTTCCTTGCAGATCGGTCCACAAGCACTGAAGTTATTTTCCAGTTGCTGGTACCCTACTAGACACTTGCACTTGTTGGGTTCGCTGCAGAATCCATTGAAGCACAAGCGGTCGCAAACAGGTTCGCAGATGGTACTAGAATTGTGTGAGAATTTGTAACCAGAATTGCAAGCGCATATCCCAGGAGCACCGCAGTACCCGTTGATACACGGCTCTGTACACACAGGCTCGCACACGGTCCGGTTTTTTTTCGAGTATCCATCGTTGCAAGCGCATTCGTTAGGTCTAACGCAAGTTCCAAAGTGACATTCTTCTTCGCACGTCGGTTCACAGACGAAGGGGTCGTCTGCGGTTAGATGGTAGCCGTCTACGCAAGCACATATGTTGTGGCCGATACAGTGTCCATATTGGCAAGGCTTTTCGCAGATAGGTACACAATGATTCGCTGTGTGAGGTTTATAGCCTGGGTTACATTTGCATGTATCTGGATAACTGCAGTACCCATTCACGCAACCTCCTTCGCAGACAGGCTCACAAACGTTCCCCTTAGTTTTTGATTTTGCGTAACCAGGATGACAGTTACATTCATTTGGCGCACTGCAGTATCCGTTTACGCAGGTCTGCTCGCAGATAGGTATACAGGCCGATTTATTGGCGAAGAATTCCGTATTCTAAAAACAGAAGCACTTCTTCCGTCGTATTTCTTCCCACTTTGAATATTTTCGTTTGATTTATTTCATTAAAATATTTGTTCCTTTTTACCGATATTGAATAAATTTAAAAAATCAACATTCTACTGTAATTATCAACGTAGATTCAGAATTTTCTTCGAACTTTCACGTAACAATTTAAGAATTTATTTTACACTTACCATTATGTAACTCCTATTATCAAATCGATAGCCCTCGAGGCAAGTGCAGATGTTAGGAGCAGTGCACTCTCCGTACGGTGCGCAAGGAATTTCGCAAAATGGCACGCACAGGTGTTTCGAGTTCTCGTCTGTTTGTACGTAGCCATCGTGACAAGTGCAGGTATTAGGCCCCGTACACTTGCCGTTCACGCAAATTTTCTCGCAGACTGGCTCGCAGGTGTAGGTCGAATTATTCAGTAACTTGTAACCTTTGTTACAAGTGCAACGTTCCGGCGCTCCACAAAAGCCATTTACGCACGGCTTACTGCAGATCGGCTGGCAGTCCTTAATACCCTGGTGTTGGTATCCAGGATTGCACTCGCACTTGTACGGAGTCATGCATTTTCCATTTTCACAGTCAGGACAAAATGGTTCGCAAACATGTTTGTTTGCTGTAGACAAAACGTAGTCCGTGTAACACTGACAAAAGTGATTGTTACCGTACGCATCCTCGACGCAATAGCCATTCGTGCACTCAGGAGAGCAGACAGGGTAGCATTCGCCGAGTTTCATTTCATACGTAGGGCAGCACATTTTCTCAATACGATAGTCGGTGTAATACTAGAAATATTTTTTAAGCGTGTACATTTTTGTCTTATCAGTTTGTAATACGTACATAGATGGGGCGTTTTTATGCAGGTAGAATCTTACGATCATGATCATCTCTTATGAGAGAATTTAAAGATGTAGAAATACACAGAGCGTTCCAAATTGTTTCATTAACGAGGCATTGGCTATGAGATATAAATATTCCAAGCACATACTATACTCGTTATAATCTATATACTATGTGAAATAAATCTTTGCTTACTCGTATACACAAAAATATGAATTTGCATAAATATCGCCAGTCTACTAATTTCGACGAAAATGGAAATTCTTCGCGTAGAATCAAATGGTTTACCTCTTTTCTGTATTTCCATCGGTATTTTGTTTCGTAAAAAATTGCCCATTTATTGACTCGATAACTCTCTCTGTATGAGACGTTCCGTGACGCTCTGAAACTAAGAAGTACAATGACGATTAAATCGATTTGTTCATTATTTCAAAGACAAGGCGAATATACCTGACTAATTTGTCACAACGTGAATGGCTTCTACTGTATAGATCCGGCTCGACTTCGCTTACTTGGAGAAAAATAGCGAGAAGTATGACGTAAAGAAATGTCATTTTGAGATTTGTCTCGTTCTGACGCGTTCTGTATTAATGAATGAACGATACTAAAGCATTCGTTCTCTGCAGTGTTTCATATCCTATACAATATGAAACGAAACAGGATGTTCAGAGATATCTCTCTCTCTAACTAATCACCAAGAATTCGCAAAGCTATATGTCACTCCGTTTCCGTATATATCTGTTTTATTCACAAATAATCGTACAAAGATTAAAAGACACTGTACAATCGAAGGCTAGTGCCGAGGACATTCTCGAATCGCTGCTTCGTATCAACTACGACACATGCATACATTTGCAATCATACAGTTCGGTATACAGTAAGATTTACTACGCGTTTGTTATCGAGGTAGATACTCTATAAGAGAGCAAATGGTCGACTGTTATTTCGATCGAGTCCGCTTATTTCTTAGATACCTCAAAGATACGAGTGAGAAACATTGAGTGTGAGCGAAACGGTCTCGCCTAATGACCATCTTCTAATCGCCTATCATCCGTGTAACTCGGATTTATTCAAATACGGTCATATTTGGTATGACCTTCGTTGGAAAAGTCTTCGACGGTTGCTACAATAATTCCACTATTATAATATAAATTAAACAATTAGAAAATTTTATTTCTCATAGCTTGATAATTGGTATAGAAAATCTGCGCGAATGAAAAAACGCTTCTATTAACCGAGGATCGTACATACTTTACTCGGATATATCTGTGACTATACGGCACACAACGAAGAAATAGAACGAAGAAACAAATTAAACGGGAACGCATCTCTGCCTGCCCTTGACGCCAGCTTCTTTTCTGTAACCAGGATTGCAGATGCACATGTTTGGCGCCGTACAAACGCCATTATGGCATCCACCCATACATACTGGTACGCATCTTGTTCGAGTGATATCGGAAGGACTCAAGGTGTAGCCGCGTCTGCACGTGCACTGATTAATGCCGGTGCAATCTCCGTTCAGGCACGGCAGTTCGCACATAGCCTCTCCCGTGGTGCCCCTTTGGGGAATGCATCTTCCAGTGTCGGGATCGACTATGTATCCAAAGTTGCAGACGCAACGATTGGGACCAACGCAACTACCGTTTGGCCCGCAGTCGGGTTGGCACTGTGACTGGGTTGGTTGTAAGTCAGGACACCTTCCGGTGACAGGATCGACGGGCATTCCGTAGTTGCAGATGCACATGTCAGGACCGGCGCAAAAGCCGTTGATGCCACAACCGTTTCTGCATTCGAAGGAATTGGACAACGGAATGCATCTCCTGGTATCTGGGTCCAAGCGGTATCCTAGGTTACACGAGCATCTGTTGCGACCTACGCACCTGGCGTTTGGACCGCAATCGAACTGACAATCAGAGACTTTTGACTCGGACTGCGTGTTGACGCATCTGCCATTGGAGTCGTGGGAATAGCCAAGGTTACACTTGCAAACGCCTGGTGTAACGCATACGCCATTCGCACAGTCTTGTGGACAATCCGGGACACAGTTACTATTGCTATCTAGTACGTAACCTGGACTACAATTACAGATTCCAGGGGCTACACATTCGCCATTGATGCAACCTTGAACACACTCCGGAACGCATTTGTTGGTTGAGTCGAGGGTAAAGCCTTGTATACATTTACAGACACCTGGAGATACGCATTCGCCATTGGTGCAACCCTGAGGACAGTCTGGAACGCATCTGTTAGTGGAATCGAGGGTAAAGCCTGGTTTACATCTACAGACAGTGGGTGCGATGCATTCTCCGTTGATGCAGCCTTGAGGACACTCTGGAACGCATCTGTTGTTCGAATCGAGCGTAAAGCCTGGTTTACATCTACAGACAGTGGGTGCGATGCATTCTCCGTTGATGCAGCCTTGAGGACACTCTGGAACGCATCTGTTGGTCGAATCAAGCGTAAAGCCTGGTTTACATTTACAGACATTGGGCGCGATGCATTCGCCATTGGAGCAACCAGAAGGACAGCTGGGCACACAGGACTCCGTATCACCCGAAGGATTAATGTACCTGTAAAGAAACAATTCGTTGGTTTACGAGTCTTGCACACGCTAGCCTTGGCAATACGTTTGCTAATAACATTCAACCATTTGAAATGTTCAAGTTTGTCAATTTACCCTTCGTGACAAGTGCACAATCCAGGAGCAGTGCATTCTCCGTTGCGACAACCATTTTCGCAAACGGGTACGCACTCTTTGCCCTCGATCCCAGTGAAACCTTCGGGCGAGGGTTGAATCACGTATCCTTCTCTGCATCTGCATACTCGAGGTGCCACGCACTCGCCATTTTTACAGCCACCGGGACAGATAGGCTTGCAGTTGCCGTTTTCTTCTTCGTAGCCCAATTTACAAGTGCACACGTTCGGCGAGAAGCAATAAGCGTCCTTTTGGCATGGTTGTTCGCAAGACGGCACGCAGACGCCCTTCTGTGCAATCCAGCCTGGAGAACAGGTGCATACGTTTGGTCCGGTACATTCTCCACCTAAACATCCATCGATGCAGCGAGGATTGCAATCGCCGGAAGTGGAGCTACGTTCGTAGCCGTCGCAACAATCCAGAATCGTGATCCATCCACCTTTCTAATGGTAAAAAGGGAAGGAATATACAATGAGAGTATTTGAACGCTTATCATAGAAGATTTTTATATCCATATTGTGTGTGTGTGTGTGTGTGTGTGTGAATCGAAAACTCATTGAGGAATATACAGAGACTATGATATAGTTTACTCTAACGTTAAGAAATATCTCAAGTTCGAACAAAATATCAAAAAATTGTTACTGAATTGTAATCTTTTATCTCGATTTTATACTACGCGTATTTCAAAATATTACAAATCTTTTTTATCTGGTAAAATACGAAGGATCGCAGCAGAATTAAGTTTTTTTGGAATATTTCTATTGCCTACAGAGATATAAACTATGAGATATAATAAGAGACGTTCGAAAGATCAAAGTTCTATCATGCTATGGCTGAAGATGAAAGGATAGAATTTCATAAAAAAGAAAAAAAAAAGAAACGTGTCACTGGGAAATATGGATATGTGTTAAACTTTTGGAGCTACTGTGTGGTACATTTACCGTGCCTTCTTGCGGCGTCGAAGGAAGTGTGTTGTGAGGGAACTGACCCGTGGCGTTCAATGCTAACGCATCCGCGTAGCTGAAAAGAAGCAAAGAAAATGAACGAATTCAGTGGGCGTCGTGGCGATAACCAGGGTTAAACGTCGCGTCGTGCTTGTTGCATATTTGCATCGTTGCGATTCAACGCGGAAAAGCATCCGTCGTTTTCGTTATCGAATTTTCTCGTTCCACTCACCGTATCCTCTTGTAGCAAAGTCCAGCCTGCACGGTGCTGTTCAAGACAGAATTCGGTCGATCGTGGTGAACGTGACGGCCCTTGACACCTTCGATCGCCAAGGTGTCAGATACCAACAATGTCCAAAGAACCGAACTGACGAACAACGTTTTGTACATGTTGAATGCGCGAGCACCAATGGATTACTGGTTTCTTATTTTCTCGATGCGCAGGATTACATCTCTTCTGATAACGTTTCGGGGTCACCGCGGTGCCACGGCGTCTCTTTCGATTGCGTAGCTGTTCGGAGAAGTGTTTATGAACTGACAGCATTCGTGTGTCGAAATTCAGCGAATTATACGCCCCTCCTCCCGCTCATCGAGATTTTTAAAAATCATCGAAGGTAGTGGAAAGCCAGCTATACAAAGTGTAAAAATAGGTGTGTATTTATAAGCGAACTGCGGATATTTACGCGTCTATAGAAAATTTAAAGATGCAAGAATGCACAGAATACACGTAACATCAAAAACATACATGAGATGATCAAAGTAGAATAGTCGCTGCAATATTTAGCGGGTGAAATAAATCTTTGTATACTCGTGTTCGTAAAAATACGGATCTGCATAAATATTTGCAGTTTATTTAAAAGAAAGTTACAAGTTAGAAATAATCCAAGTTCACCCTAACGATACGCTGACATAACCCAGTGAGTTAACTGACGAACCTTTTTCTTTATTTCGCCCGCATTTCCAGTTTTTCACTCCGAGGAAGCAAACGATAATAGAATTTCGATCGTTATATTTAATTTTCCACTAGAGTGAGAATAATGAAATGTGAGTAAAATAGAGAAAAAGATTCGTCAGCTGATTCATTGGTACACGCAGATATATTTTTTAGCGTGTAAAACTAAATGACTTAGAACTTGAGAAACAGACCAGGAAGTTTCTTCACTGTCTTGATATCTAAAATAATGTTTCATAAATATCGCTCACTCGCTCTTTTTGTGCACCCTGTATATCGTTCCGATTTATCATAATTATTTCCTTTTTTTAATCGCATTTAAAAAAACATTTCCGGACTCTAATTAAAAATTCATTCGTAGAAATTGGTAATCGTTTCCTTTAATTATTATTATGAATAACGAGATTCGTTTCTATCGATTAAAAAGGTCAATAGTAGAACGGAGTGAAAAAATCGGAAACACGTGAGAGTGAAAACCAGATTCGTTTGGATTTCCGTATACGGGTTCTCCGAATTATACATATTTTTGAAACTCGCTTTTTAAAATCACATAGTCCAGCCTCGTTATAATGTTAATCAAATTTTCAAGTTGTACGCTTTTTATTATCATTATGTTTTTCGCATAACAAGCATAATATATTCATAAAAGGTGTCTATAAGTACTTGATTACTTTCGTCAGCCACTGTATACGAACAACGCGTGAAGCTTGTATATTGCCAGTTTATATAATCCATCGATATTGTTGCTTCAAAGAGGATGCAGTGCACGAACGAGATAATACGAGTAAGCGGGAGAGACGGTATGATGCTGTCCTATTTAAAGTACGATAAAATGGATGTTATGACTCGTGTTGTGATAATTCGTAAACGATCCACCGTAATTGACCAGGAGCAAGAATGGTAATTATATAAAAAAGAGCACACTTTATTAATCCGATATCAATTGTCCATGCAGCAGAATTTTTATTTCGTCTGCGATAGTTTCGTGATAGCCTTACAATTGAATTTTTCGGTATTACGTAATCTAAACTCGATGCAAACCTAAAAAATATTTTTGTGTACATGTTTATACTGAAATCGAAACAAAAGATGCGCGATGACTATATGTACAAACGAAGTTAATGAGAATGTTGACCTTGACAACATATGTCAAGGTCAATAAAACCATAAAACTCCCGGGAATTTAATGAGAAATCGGCCAGATTACGACGAATGCAAAGATTACGAGAATATTGTTTTATCGTGGTAACGCGTGGTTGAAGAATTGGACACGCTGATACAAATACGATTACGCAAGCTCTACCCTAATTACGACTTATCTGTTTCGATATTTTCTCTTCTTACCGAACGTCACTACGACGTTCGTTAAACGCATGACACGGATTTGAAATGAATCTATTATTATCGATGATGTCAGCGCATAAACGAAGATATAAATGTAATCGAGATGTTGCTAGACAAATCTTAAATGCAAACTTTGCATTACGTTTAAAGCAAGCTCTTTGGTTGAATCTCGAAATCTTTGGATTTACACTTGGCCTTAACACTTACAAAACACCTATCTACATCTACGATAATGTTCGTTTCGTCTAAGTCGATAACATATCCTTGAGAAACGCGGGTTAAATTACTTCGTACATTTTGAAGCCTCCAATGGCAAAAGTTGAATCAGTTTTGACACGCGCAGATATTTTACGTTTTCTTATTTTCTAAGCTACATTTACGCGGCATAGATATATGCACATCTTATATACGTTGCAATATAGATTTCTTCTGCTTTTCTATTTATTGTACGAAATAAGAAAACGAGAAAATTTCATATAATAAATATACTTAATCGTTCGTATAATAAATATAAAAACTTTGCAATCCGCACGATATGTTACATGTTATGTTACAAGATATATCGTTTCGCTTAAAAATTATTTAAAAGTAAATTATTTAACGTAAAATTTCTCTTTATGACGTTTCGATTAATTGAATTGCATGCAAGTGCGTTCGTGGCCGACGTAAACGCGTTCAAAAGGTTTTAGATGGTCGCCGATTGACGCGAACGAGTTTGAGGAAAAGTTTCCTTGTGGGTACACGCCCCGTAGCGAATAGTTTAATCGATGCCACGAACGGTTTTCTGCCTGATCGAGAACCGATTGCAATCACGTTCAGCCTTGCTCACGTTCAGACGAGGCTGCGTAAGGTCGGAAACCAGTCCAGTTGGATTTTTCTTCGTCCCGTAGACGCGCTGACTAGCTCACATCCGCCTCCGGAATCGCACGTGAGCGTGACTCTTGAACAACTGCACATAAACGTCCCTGACACTTTATTCACTTTCTTTCCGTTTTCGTTCCTCAAATATTTAAGAATTTTTCTAACTAAATGCGACACTAGTCGAACTACTGGTTGTTCATAGATTTCTTCTTTGATATTCGGAATAATAGAGAAATTCTTAACCAGACGTTTGGGATTTTCTATTCAGAGTGCGGCCTATTGTTAGTTCTACTTTGGGTCGCGCGTTCATCACACTTAATTCGCTTTCTTCCGTCTTGTTTCTACGAATAGAGATCTTTTTGATTAAACGTGTCACTAATTGAGCTATTCGATCCCCCGTAAATTTCTCCTTTACTCTTTCACGCACCAGAGTGATTTCTAACTACAGTTTTCTATCCAAAGCGTTGTTTTTTTCTAATTCGACGTTATTTTCCAATCACGTGTTTTTACGGAAATTCAAGGGACTCGATTGCAAAGGAATTTCGTCGTAAACGTGCTCCGTGTTCGAGTCGAAATCGCTTTGGAGGTGAATCCGCGTCGCTGATGGTCGATCGTAATGATCCTCTTGCAGAAGAGCTAGAACATGTAAAATAAAAACAAAGAATTATAAAATAAAGGAAATAGTAATATAGCGAATAGTAATAGGATGAATAGTAGATTCTGGAGAAGGAATGGCGAATAAATCTTCGTAGAAGGAAACGTATATATGCTCACCATGCAAATTGCCAGATATACGGAGACCGATCGTGGCAGCTCCATTGGCATAATTGTTCGTGAGATCGTTGTTAATCATCGATGGCATCGCTATAGACTCTGGAGTAAACAGTGGCACCAGGCGAATTGGGGTTTCTACGATAGAATCATACATAAAATATGTCTATGGTTAAATAGTTTTTAATTTAAGTAGAAGCTTGTTTATCGAGTAAATTTGTTTTCTAGAAGACGAATGAAAAAAGAAGCTAAAGCTTTCGAAGTGTTTACTCGATTACTTGGTTCATCCTTTAGTCTTACGGTCTTTCCTTTTATAAAATTGCCTTTTTATAAAATTTGATTTTTTCGACCATCGAAGTAACAGCGTGTGTTACACCACCATGAGCGAGGAATCGAATGCAGTAGCCTTGGAGAAAAAGGGAAAACGCGTTACCGGATACCGTTTTAATTCTCCTCGAATAATCCACGCTCGAAGAGTGTTTCAAGATGGTCATCGAAGTAAAATTACGTGGACGAAATCGAGGTCAAGCACACATAGACTTCACCCAGATATGAAAAAGTAGGATTTTTCGAAACGTATAGCACTCACGGGGAAGAGTACCGGTGACTATCGATGAGATTTTCGTTGCGCTCGAATTTTCTTGGTTCTTCGTCTTCCCTTCTTCGTAGATCGAGATTCTTGTTGCTTCCAATAGCTTCGAACGCATGTGGAGAACCATCACCACTGTTACCGAGGTCAGACCCAGTGATACGATCGACGCTATCACGATTAGGGCGATGTCCATGGAAATCGGGGCCGGTTGAACGTCTGTTCGAAGTTATTATTACTATTAGACTGCGGATGTCTGCGTAAATTTATATTTTTCACAATGACGATTAATAAAAGACAGTGATCGCGAGCTTAGATACCAGATGAAACTCTTGAGAATTATATAATCGCAATTGTGGTTAGCATTTAATATTCAAAATTAAAATATATCCCACATTAAGGAGTGTTTGACATAAGTTATTCGATATGTTCTCATACAGAATGACGGGCTGCATCGACTAATTTAGTGAAAAATATGAGATTCCACTTAAAATCTGTATGTATATTACCTTTATGTATATTTTTAACGTAATCGATTTTAGGCGGACCGATATCTTGCAGATTGATGTTATCATCGACGTGTCTCGCAAACGAGTTTTTCATCGCGAATTTCCCTCGATCCCTGTCCAGGTTGCCCCTCCGTTCCGGTACGGAAACCCAAACGATGACAGGCTTGGCGGTGCTCGAGTTTCCGTCCTCGCGAGCTTGTGCCCTAATTTTCTTCTCATCCGTAGTCGAGACGTTGGTAGTTTCCGGGCTCGTTGTTTTACTAGGATTATCCGTCGTGGCTAGTATTTCGTGCATATCGTCCAACAATTCGTCAAATGGAACAACGATTATTATATTAATTACATAAATCTATTTGCCATTAATCTCCTCTTGTTTAAAGTTATGATATTTGCGCGACGTGCTGTGTATTTAGGATCGCGACTTTCGACT